GTCAGTAGATCAGAACAATAAGAACCCTGTGTAGATTTAGTACMRAGAGCTACACAGGATCTAATCAKGTCTACTGAAAGCTCACGTCGGAGCGCAAGAATCTAATCTTGTTCCGACGAATAATTCTAATCTTATAATTTCAATTTTCATACACACTTAACACCTACTAAGAGTACACGTAATCTCGTGCACCATTAGAGCCAGTGAGACATGAAAGGATAAAAATATTTTTTTGACAGTTCTTTTTTAAATGTAATTTTAAATGTAAAAATGAGCTAAAATTTCCATTAGTAGTTTTCTTTGTGAGGTACGGTACTTATTGCCTTCAACTTGCGGGACTTGTACTCGTAGGTACAAGTGGCTCCATATTTTGCTTTGAAACTCGATACAGGATTTTTTCAGAATTGCTGTTTTGTCGATTCGACGTCTGTACGTCACCACTCTCCACCCAAAACCAACCAATCCTGACTGAAGTTTGGTCTGCACATCAACTAGTCGAAAAATAATGTTGGGTCAAAGATCAACAGAAAAATATTTGAACCCTCGATACCAATCCAGTATCCCCTCGTCACTGGATGTCGATATTTAAAGTCGATGCTGAATACCGACGCCACAGGAGAAGGGTAAATCTGCGCATCACGATAGGTCGAATGCAGATAGAAAAAAGAACCCACACACCAAAGTTAACATGAATCTATTATTGTCTGCATCGTCTCCAGACGGTAGCTTAGCCGCAATCAAGGCTCCTTCATCGGCTTCGTCTTCGCGACATTTGATTCGTATCTACCAAGTGGGGGACTCATCAACGACGCTTCAATCAACATTGACCCACGCGTCGAATCTTCCTCTTGTGCAGCTAATTTTTGCTGGAAGAACATCGGTTCTTGGACTTTTTGGACGCCAGGAGGTTGTGGTATGGGATCTAGATCGTGGCGTCGTTGCTGCCACTTTTTCTGCCTCAGATGATCAAGCTTTCTTATCCCTGGCCGCCCCTAGTGATGACGAGGAAGAGAACGAAAATAATTACTATGCATTGGTTCGTCATGGTCCAAAACTAGTTGTACATGAATATTTAGCATCAAGCAACAAACTGAGACGAAAAATCAAGAGTGGTCGGATGAATGATTCGGAGGACGGTGATGTTGATTATAGTGAGATGGAAAAAAAGGATGCAGCATCTTTAATTATTACTTCGTCACATGTTATCGTGCGTGCGAAAGGATGTGGGATCCGTGTAATGGAAAAGGATTCTGGGAAGAAGACTGGGAAGATCAAACTCAAGGAATCTTCTTACGGAGAAGCATCGAGCATGGAGATGAGCTCTTGTATTGGAGACCAAAACATTTTGGCGGCTATCGAAAAATCTGGGGATGCTGTCTTATTCGATCTGGGCTCATGCAAGGAGGTAGCTCGTCTTCCAACCGACAGTTCTCCAACACAGAAAACTGGTCTACAGCTCGTAGCCCAACAAACAAAAGAGGATTCATTTACTCTCTTTCGCTATGATTCCCTTTACTCAATCGTCACTGAAAAGAACAGATCGTCACCGTATGAAAAAATATCACAATTGTCTAGCAGCAATCCAGTGGCTGTATTTTTAAGAAGTAATGACAAGGCACTAGCACTAATTCAACAACGATCTTCGGACTATCGAGTGCAAGTGATCGATTTCTCTGAAGACAGCGAAGAAGAGCTTCCAGCCGTCTTCAAGTTGGATCAAGAAGCTAGCTCTAAGGGAAAGAACGAAGCTACAAGCAAAAAGAAACGAAATTCTTCAGAAATTAAGGTGCTTGGCCCTGGGCAAGCTGGTAGCGAAACAATTACTTCTGTGAAAAAGTTAAGAGTAAATAGTTGCGAAGACGAAGATGAAATGGATGTTGAAGAAAATGGTGACGACGACGATGGCGACGAAACGAGAAACCTGACGATTGGTGAACGGCTTCAAATGTTGACTGATGCCCTAGATGAAGAAAATAACGATGGGGAAGAAAACGACAACGATGACGACAAAGCTGTAACAGCCGCTATTGCTGCCGCTGTTGGAAAAACAAAATTCAAACCCCAAAAGGCCACTACCGAATCCCTGAAAGAACTCTTGACCCAAGCTCTTCAATCGAGCGACGATAACCTTTTGGAACTAGCACTTTCTGTTCACGACATGAAAATAATTGCTACGACTATAAAAGAAATGAACGAGGATCTTTTGGTCATACTGCTGGGAAAGCTTACATCTCGTTTGGCATCTAGCCCACTTCGTGCCGAATCTCTTTCAATTTGGATATCTCATTGTCTGAAGAGAGGCAGTTTCGACTCAGAGCATCTAGCTGTTTTGAGAAATATGCTTTACGAGCGAATAGAAAGTTTTTCAGATTTACTGCGTTTGGAAGGAAGGCTGTCTATGATGGTAGATTGATTTTCTTTACACATAACAGCGGGATATCGAACCGGTCAAACCAGGACGGATGACGATCCAATAAATTCAAATACTATTACTTTTTATCAATTCACTTTAGGTTATCTTTTAGACATCTCAAAGACTTCGTTTTGTGGGATCACGAGTATAATTTAAGGTAATTTATAGAACGGGATAAATTTCTTTTCCTACTACTTCTAATACTCATCCGGCGTCCTAGTATTACTACTAGTACTCTTGTACTGCACATACTATTCTTCTTTTGCTAGGATCACCAAACTGTGAGGCCATCATGATGTCTTCAATCCTCATTTGCCCTTCCAGTTTTCATAATGATTGATTGTTAGTTACAGATCATCGTGTTCCTATCGCCCGGTATCCGGAAGGTACCTAACAGAATATCAACCAAAAATGCAACCGTGTAGGATGTAGTACATAATATACGTAGGCAAACCAAGCCAGTGCGTGGTGCGTACTGTATCAGGGTGATTGACGAGAAGTACT